GGTCTGGGGTGATCACACCTGCCCTGTGCCGCCGACGGCCGGGGCGCCCCGGTCTGGGGTGATCACACCTGCCCTGTGCCGCCGACGGCCGGGGCACCCCGGTCTGGGGTGATCACACCTGCCTGTGCCGCCGACGGCCGGGGCACCCTGGTCTGGGGTGATCACACCTGCCTGTGCTGGCCGCTTTCTCCTGCCAGGCCATCGACTAAGTGGTAGGTGTTTCGGAGTTCAGACGTGTTCTGCCTCTTCCCATTACCAAACGTATTGACTTAGTAATACGCGTAACTCTCCTAGATGCTCTTTGTTTGCCAGTCCTGGGTCTTGAGCCCAGGGCCTGGTGCTGTCCCTGGGTCTCTCTTGCTCCAGCACTGTGTGGAGGAATTCACCAAACTGCAGTGCTGCACCAAGTTCGCACAGTGCGGAGCTCGTGAATGCCCCTCGATGGGTGACATGAGCCTCCACGCATTCATTTCTCCTTGGCTGGCTCAAAGGTAACTAGAGAATAAGCTGGAATAGAGCAGTGCTTTGGGCTGACCGGGCAGGGCCAGGCTGGTGGAACCTTGGGGACGGGTCAGTAACAAAGACGCACCCCGGCCCATCGGCCATCCCGCAGCCGGACCGTGCACAAGCCGGGGCCCATCGGCCGTCCCACAGCCGGGCCCTGCACAAGCCGGGGGCCCATCGGCCGTCCTGCCGCTGGTGCACAAGCCGGGGGCCCATCGGCCGTCCCGCAGCCGGGCCCTGCACAAGCTGGGGGCCATCGGCCATCCCGCAGCCAGACCGTGCACAAGCAGGGGGCCATCGGCCGTCCCGCCACCAGTGCACAAGCCGGGGGCCATCGGCCGTCCCATAGCCGGACCGTGCACAAGCCGAGTCCCATCGGCCGTCCCACAGCCAGACCGTGCACAAGCCGGGGGCCCATCGGCCGTCCCGCCACCGGTGCACAAGCCGGGGGCCATCGGCTGTCCTGCCGCTGGTGCACAAGCCGGGGGCCATCGGCCGTCCCACAGCCGGACCGTGCACAAGCCGGGGGCCCATCGGCCGTCCCATAGCTGGGCCCTGCACAAGCCGGGGGCCATCGGCCGTCCCATAGCCGGGCCCTGCACAAGCCGGGGGCCCATCGGCCGTCCCGCAGCCGGGCCCTGCACAAGCCGGGGGCCCATCGGCCGTCCTGCCGCTGGTGCACAAGCCGGGGCCCATCAGCCGTCCTGCCACTGGTGCACAAGCCAGGGGCCCATTGGCCGTCCCATAGCTGGACCCTGCACAAGCCAGGGCCCATCGGCCGTCCCATAGCCGGGCCCTGCACAAGCCGGGGGCCCATCGGCCATCCTGCAGCCGGACCGTGCACAAGCCGGGGGCCATCGGCCATCCCGCCACCGGGCCCTGCACAAGCTGGGGGCCATCGGCCGTCCCGCCGCTGGTGCACAAGCCGGGGCCCATCGGCCATCCTGCTGCTGGTGCACAAGCCGGGGGCCCTGCCAAGGCACATCAACCAGGAGCTTCAAGGCTAGAACTTGAAGCCCACCCTGCCTTCCCTCCTGTAAGTTGTTCTTGTCTTGCCTAAGTTTCCTTTCCTATAAAATAGAGATATGATTATCATCATCATTACTTTGTTGTTGTTGGTTGTGGGTCTTGAACTCTGGGCCTGGGCACCGTCCCTCAGCTCTTCAGCTCAAGGCGAGTGTTCTACCACTTGAACCACAGCACCACTTCCGATTTACTGGTGGTTTACTGGAGATCAGAGTCTCATGGACTTTCCTGCCTGGGCTGGCTTTGAACTGTGATCCTCAGATCTCAGCCTCCTGAGTAGCTAGGAAGACAGGTGTGAGCCACCAGTGCCCGGCTTCATTCATTACTTTCTCTGATACCCGTGAGAACTAAATAATAAAATTTAGGTAGAATACTTGGCAAAGAACCAGTCATATGAAGTCGTTACTAAAAGTTAACTTTGTAGGCCCGAGCTCAGTTCAGAAACCTGCAATCAACAGATATTCAGGAACAATCTCTCTCTCTCTCTCTCTCTCTCTCTCTCTCACACACACACACACACACACGCACACACACATACTGTTAGTGTTATGCCCTGTCTCTCTTACAGACACATAATTAGATAGATATATAAAACCTACAGTCCTCTCACATACACAATTTTAGATGTCTCTCCTACACACAATTCTCTCTATAAATATCTCTCACACGTCTCTCTCTCTTTCTCTCTCACACACAATTCTGTTTGTGGAAGGTGGACTATCACTGGTCATTCTGTGAAGAAGCTGTCACTGCATTAAGAGCATTCACCCAAACCCACTTTGCGCATCTTGTTCTGGCTTCTCCTGACCGCCCCATAGCTTGCTCATGTCCGCTCTCTGCTCCCCCTTCTCTGCCCCACCCCGTCCCTCTTTGCATAACAAAGGCCTGGATGTCACGGATTTTGGCATTTTGGAGGTGAGCGATAGCAAAGCAAAGGCTTTACATGAAAGCATTCAGAACTGATCTGCAGCTGCGTGTCCATGCGTGTGTCCGTGTGTCCGCTGCTCTGTGATCATATCCTTCTACACGTGACTCGGGGTGGGGGGGGCCCTGTGGGGGGCTTCACACCCGCTTCCCCGCACGGCCTCTGTACAGTCAAAACATTCCAGAATCTCTCAGTGACCGTCCATCCGTCCATCCACATACCCACCCTACCTCGCAGGCCAGCTCTTCTCCTTCCCCCAAGGAACACAAAACAAAACCCAGGACACACGCAGGGTGAGTGACTGTCTCAGGTTGCTCGAGATCGGACCAGGTGGGGGGTGTGTCTCGGGTGACAGGAGGCGTCTGCTACCCTACACCGCCCTCGCCGAGGGCCGGCGGGCGCTGGGAGGCTGCTGCAGTCCTGTGTAACACAAAGCTTTCATCTCTGGAGACAGGAAGGTGGGGTGAGGGCCGGCTGGCCGGCCGAGGCTGCGGACGGACCGACCGTGAGGCTGGGCTCAGCGGGCACCCGGGCCCTCCGCTTCCGGGGAGGGGGAGGCTCCTCTGCGGATGAGCCAGCCGCCCGCAGGCTCCTCTCTGAGCCGCAGAGCCCTCACCGAGGCGGCCGCGTCCCGCCATGCCAAACCAGCAGAAGAAAATCCTGTTTTGCGTGGCGGGCGTGCTGAGCTTCGCCTGTGCCCTGGGTGTGGTGGCGGCCCTGGGGACACCGCGGTGGATGAGAGCCACCTTCCTCTGCACCACCGGGGCTCTGCTGGTCAACGCCTCGGGGCCGGAGCTGGACAAGTTCACCGGCGAGGTGCACTACGGGCTCTTCCACGGGGAAGGCGTGCGGCAGTGCGGGCTCGGGGCCAGGCCTTTCCGGTTCTCATGTAAGTACTGCTCGTGTGAATGATTGACGCTCTGGAGCCCCTTCCAGCTGCTGCCGGGAGGTACCTGAAGGGCCTTGCTCCCGCCGCACAGGACTTTTTAAACCAACACCTGAGACCTCCCCTGCATTTTAAATTCACTTTTCCTTCCTGCTGGTTTTATTATAACAGAGTTGTTGTTATATAATTAAGCCTTTTGAAAACAGAAGCAATTAAAGTTCCCAACTTCCTGTTTATGTCGCGGCTATTGGGTCTTTGTGATACGGGGGCTTGAGGAAATAGGAAAGCAGTAAGAAATGTCTTTGTGCCTTTTGTTCTCTAAAAAGAGAACAAAGTGGGTTCTTAACCATCCTGCTTTTCCACGTCCAGGACTTTCCTTCCTCGACCCCATCCCTGCCGGACCTTTGCTGCTTGTAAATTGTCTGCTTTTATTTTAAATCAATATGTAGTCACTTGGCTAAGGAAATACAAAATGATGTTTCTAGGATAACTGGGAAATAAATGGATGCCAAAGAGAAACAGTTCAAGGCTGGGAAGGTGGCTCAGTGGTAGAGCGCTTGCCTTGCATGCATGAGGCCCTGGGTTCGATTCCTCAGCACCACATAAGCAGAAAAAGCCGGAAGTGGCGCTGTGGTAGAGCGCCCGCCTAGAGCTGAAGAGCTGAGGGACAGCGCCCAGGCCCAGAGTTCAGGCCCCACAACCGAACAAAAAACAAAAACAAAACAAATAGAAAAATTTCAACTGGTTGACCTTTGCATCATGTAGAGATTTTCCTGAGATGACTTTTCTGCACTGGAAGTGTCATCCACAGCATTTATAACCTGTTTATCTCATGAGGAGAATTTTTAAAAAATTAGCATGTGAATAGGCAACTCATTAAATGAAAATTAATAAGAAGCCATTTGTCATATCTCTCACAACACACATCCAGAAGCTAGTATTATTTCAAAAGGGCTGGTTTGGAACACTCTTATGAAGGCGCTGGAAATTACCGCATAAATCACTCTTCTAGAAAAGGAGGGTACCGGCCGAGGCATTTAAAATGAACTATTATTTTGCCTGAGCTTTTTTCTCCTCTAATATAGGTAGAAGGCAAATTAATTGAATTTATTATTAACATATGCAGTGTCTAATTAAATTTCCGTGCCGGTTTATTTATATTTCTGCTACATTCCTTCTATCTTAGCAGTTATTGGGCACCAGCTCCAACTCCATAGGTTACAGAGTGACAGAGCTCCAGAAAAGCCCCAGGAATTAGTCTTCAGTTTTCAGGAAGTTCTCATCAACCCAGTTTGGAGAAGAGCTCCTTCCCTGAATGGCTCCATTCATTCAGGAAATGCACCAGAGCCCCCTCCAGCAGGGGGGCAAAGCAGCCTGCTTTGTGATTCCCAATGGGTATTAACGATAAAAAGGGAAAGAAGATGAGTGAAATGATTTAACCCTGAGTCACAGTGGCTAGAGCAGGCGAAAAGCTCAAAAAGACGCATGTAGACAAAAGCCGGGCTTATTGGAAAGTGTTCCAGAACCTTTGCATTTAGCTCAGGAGAAAACTGGATTCCTGCAAAGAGCAGGTCCCTGTACCGTGGACCCGAGTGTCATGCTGGGTGCACAGGTCCCCAAACCCGCAAACGCCCCGCCCCGACCTTGTGGGCTGGAGCAGCTTGAGCCTGGAATGCTCAGCCGGCCAGGCCTGAGACCCTTGCCTGTGACGCCCGCTTTAAAAATGCACCTGCCCCTCTCTCCCGCCAAACTGACACCTGCGCCTCCTCCCCAGGCTGGGGAAGGGGAAAGCTCAGATCCCCTCCTTCCGTGCCCACCGTAGACCGTTCAGGGTAAGGAAACGCTGCTAATTGAAGCCCCAGTCACCTTTCTGAGGCCTAGAGAAGTATACTCATAACAGAACCCTGCCTGCCCCCGTGTGGAAGCATCTACCCTAGTGGAATGCAAAAGAATGTGGAAGAGGGGAATAAATAGAGCCTGTGGACTCCCCAGAGACTTGGGTGCTCATGGAAATAAACACGCACCGCCGTCAGTGCCAAGACTGCCCTGCCGTGCCCCTTCTCAACGCTCACTGCAGTGTGGCTTCCGGGCTCCCATTTCCCACTCCAAACACCATCGCCCTACCAACATGTCTTATTAAGGGATCATAAGGTTGGGAGAGTCGTCTGAGAGTCTTCCTGATAGGAAAACGTAAAGCTTGCCGATATTTAGAAAAATAATCATCCGAGGCTTACCCCCGTCTTCTCTACAGTCCATCCTTTGAGGGAATCTGGGGCCTTTGGAGACCTGGAGCCTGCGGGGTCTGCCAAACCCACCTTGGGAGCAGACACAGCTCACCGCCCCCCACGCCCTCCTCCTGCCCCGCTCCCTTAGGAAGGTATGCAGCAAACACTGGGGTTCGCCGAAACTTTGCAGCATAGCAGGCAAGAAGCAAGGCAATCGATCGGAGCACCCTTCAAGACCAGGGCAGAAATGAAATGTAAACCCAAAACGCAGCCATGTATGTAACTTGAGATGCTTGAAATGTAGCCATATTGGGAAAAACAAAACACAAAGAGAAATGGGTGAAATGGACAAGATGTTTCCTTTAACCCATGATATCCAGAATACTGTTACATTAATGTATAAAAAACTGCAAAGGTGGGGCTGGGGGTTTAGCCCAGCGGAAGGGCGCCCGCCCGGCACGTGCAAGGCCCTGGAAAAAAAGAAAAAAGAAAACAAAAACTGCAAAAGTGGCCAGACGCTGGTGGCTCACGTCTAAAATCCCAGCTACTCGGGAGGCTGAGGTCTGAGGATCACGGTTCAAAGCCAGCCTGGGCAGGAAAGTCCGTGAGACTCTGATTGCCAACAAATTACAACCAAAAAAAGCTAGAAGTGGGGCTGTGGTCAAGTAGAGGGCTCGCCTTGAGCTGAAGAGCTGAGGGACAGTGCCCAGGCCCAGAGTTCAAGCCCCAGGACCAGCACACACACAAAAAAGAAAGATATTATAGAAATTATTGAGATATTTCCATGCCTCTAATTCAGAGAGCTTGTATGAGTCTGGCCAACAGCGCCGTCCTGGGCCTGCAGTTACCACAGAAGCCATTTCCGTGGAGGGGACTGGCTGTGGGTGTCCATATTCTAAACAACCTTGCTTGGTTCTCGGAACAAGCCTCTGTGTGCGTGTGTGTGCGTGTGTCTGTCTGTGTCTGTGTCTGTGGATTTTTACGTGCTGTGTTTGTCTCACTTTTAAAGCCCATGTATGTGTTGTCATATGAGAATGAAGAATGGACTAGAAGAACCTCGGGGCACACAGGCGCGTTTGCTCCCATTGAGTGTTCCCTGCCGACCGTCCTGTCTCCTTTCATTATAAGATCGCCCCGCGAGCACGCACCCGTCCTGGGAACCCTCTGCTGTGTCCCCAGGCGTCCGCGGGTCTGCGGTTCACCGTCCCGGCTGGGCGGCAGCCATACCCATGACCCCGTTCCTCTGTGACAGCAACGCCAGGGCTGGGCTTCTTTTTCCTGATGCGTCCCCGGTAATGCTTCAATGACACTGTGAAACCTGCCCGTTCTGCGCTGGGTGCCCGTGGCGGGCTCCTGTTTTGGTGATTTGAAACCTTACCGAGTGCCGTCAAAACATGACCTGCGCTTTGTCTGGTGCAGTCATTCACGGATATGCCAATCCGTCCACTGCCAAAACGGTCTGATGAGCCGCCAAGAACATATGGAACCCGTTTCTTTGAAACGTAAAAAGAGTGGAAAACCTAGCCGCTCGCAACTTCAGCTGTGTTTGGGAAACCATGTTAGTTTTGGACTTAGGATTGACCAGGTGCAGAAAGCTCAGCGGAGATTTAGCTAACTTCTTTCAGAAAAACAGCGTTTCTTTACTGAGAGAGGCGTATGACCCAGGTTGTGCAGGGGACCGGAAGCTTCTAGGAGCCGGCTGCTGGTTGGCTTTGGAACATATTTTGGGACAAAACATTTGTGACATAGCCTTATGACTGTCAGAGAGGCTGGGACTCTGTGTCCGGGCGCGGCCCCCAGGGGCTGCTGGCCCCCTCCCCGCCCTGGGCTGGCCT